TAAATTATTATTAATTGCAAGTGTTAACGGGGGACTAACTTTGAGGCAACCAAGGTAAAGGTTTGTTTTCGTTTACTTCTATTTTTTAATCGATTCCCAAATCGTTTAAGTGATTTCGTTTGGATATTCAATGAAAGTGTTAATATCCGGTTCAGAGTAGCTCTTACGGGTGTCACCTGCAAAAGTGGCTAGATTTTCGAGGATTAGATTGGGCAGATTTTCATGAACGTTTTGGACACATTTTGGGGCTAGCGAACGAGGAGCACACCGGGTTTGTCTTGTAATTCGCGTGACCGGAAACATGTGAATGTCAACGGTTCTCGGTCAGGGTAATTGTCGTCGGACCGCGGTGAAACGGATTTTCGCAGCTACGGGAACGTGATCTTCTCTCGTCGTCAAATCTGCGTGTAGCGCGCGGTTTGCATATACACCGTATGTAAATGATAATAATATTCCATTATAAAAATCCTACCGTAGACACCGGATCGACCGTGCGCGGTGCGTGTACACAATGGACAAGCGGAATAACAATAACGGCCATAATATATTGTCGGTTAAAATAGAATTTGTTAGTAAACAATGCAAAAAAAAAAACCAAGAAGAAGAAGCATCGCGGTTTCGAAAAAAAAAAAAATAGTTATGCGAGCATGGCCGGCTAAGAAGATGGACGGCTCTGGGAAAATCGGTCAGAACCGTAGCAGCAGCGACGGCGTTAAGTACGTACAGTTATGTGGAAGACGTGACATCAACGGTAAAAAAAAAAAAAAAAAATTAAAGAATAGTGAAACAAACAAATAAAATAAAAAATGCACCGAATGATTGTTTTTCTCTGTGGCGGGTCAGGAAGTGCAAACGAATCATCACCGATTTTTGGAATTGTAAAAAAACAATCGCATCGCGAGTACTTTAGATGGTACTTTATAAAAATTTTTAATTTAAACGAAATTCCTGATCCGTAACCGCCGTGGAATATAATAATATTCTATTATAATAATACACGGTCTACTGGGTGAAGCAGTAACCGAGTAGGTAGATAATTAAAAATTACAAAAAAATTCGACAACAATTTAGGTCGCATTAATTAACTATAAATTATATCAGAAATGTCTAATCAATTTAACAATCTGCTTTATGACCGGTTGAGGTTGTGTACGTTGTTTTAATTAAAGGGTTTGTGTTTGTATTGAGTTTTGAGTGAAATCCAGTGTAGTGTAAAATAGCAAGTTCTTTGACAGTTTTGATGTTTAAATCTTCGTGTAAACTACTATTTGTTACCCACCGAAACGCACCAGTTGACACTCGAAATACTATATTTTAAAAGGCTTGTATTGGTCGAATGTTAGACGGTTTAGCTGGTCTCCATATCCGGATGCCACAAGACCAGACTGGTCTGATAATATTGACTGATAAATAAGTATTTTAGATTAAGGAAAGTCCGCTGTTGGCTTTTATCCTTTTGTCTTTGAGGTGAGGTGCCCAGATGAATCGTTTGTCCAAAATTATGCCTAGGTACTTAGTTACTTTGTGGGTATTAATTACTGTATTGTTTAATGTTATATTTGAGTATTTTTCGCAACGGAGGGCGAATGTTACTTGACTTGATTTATTTTTATTTTCCAGTTCCTGAACCAAGTCAAAATCGTTGAATTTTAACGTGCGTTTGTAGGTGGTGGGCTGCTTCAGTAATATTACTATGAGCAGAATGTATGGCTGTATCGTCAGCAAATGTAGCAAGATGAGTATTAGTAGTCTGGGGTAAAAATATTGTAAAGGTCAGGAGACAGGTCACTTCCTCGAGGGACGTTAGCTTGAATTTTGTAGTAAGGAGAATTTGCACAACCTTGTCTTACCTTGTAAACTTCCTTTCTTGAAGGTATGACTTTATTTAAATTTAACACGGTGGATATACTTATCGTTTAAAAACTTGCCGGGAATCTCATTTCATTTATCAAACTAGTATGATGTCATTTCTATACCTACATTAGCTGTTGTTGTGTACATATATAAATTTAGGATAAACAAAAAAATTGGCGGCCTCCGTCCGAAAATCATTGACTACATTAAGTGTCCTCTCTGATTTAATCTGCTCTGCGCTACAATGGCATCTTTGAACATTTGATAAAAAAAAAAAAAAAAAAACAATTGACAAAAACAACAGTTGTGTTAATCTCGCGCACCGTACGTTTAACATGTTCAAGAATACCGCTACCTTTAGGCGTTACGGTCAGGTAGGTATTTCCATTAAAACAAACACCGTGTCTCGCTCGTGGCTCGTTTGGTTAATATCAAAAAAAAAAAAATATATATATATATATATGAGTGTATAGAACTGAAGCATCTGATAATGCTAAAACGTGTAAAAAACGAACCGTACGGGCACGCGATTACTATATGATGATGACAGTACACATAGCAGACATGATACTAAGCCAAAAGAGGTGCGTTGTGCTCTGACCAAAACCCATCGGATTGTAGAATATTATACTTTTAAATACAATTTTGAGGAATGAATCTTATGTCCGACGGAGATATTGTTCTTGCCGTGTATGGTCTTGGCTGGAAAACGAATCATGTCGCGGAACGTTAAAATTAACATAATACACATGAAATGCTCTAAAAACTATATAACGAGCGTCATTACGGTGAAAGTGCACGGTCGGTCCAGAAGAAAGAGCTGTCGTTTTATTTTATTGTGATTTTTTAAATTTTTTAAGTACTTTTTTGCGTTTAGACAAAATGAAAATGTGTGTGTGGAAAACGAGGTAGGATAGAAAAAAGCCAACGAAAAGTCGGTACGGACAATAACTATTCAATTCTATTGTATTGGAATATGTCCTATACCGCTTCTGTGTTGTACACGTTTTTAAGCAATTCGGGGTGCCATTCAAATTGACCGTAGAAAGTTGAATCTATATTATTAAAAAAAAAAAAGGCGAGCTAAGAGGACGACCCTCGTTCGAAACCAGTGGACGACACACTATAATATATTATTATAAAAGTCGGACAACAGTATTGCTATAAAGTTTTTTTTTTTAATTCTAGTGAACAAAAGTTAAAATATGGAATAATAAAAAATCACTGTAAAATCGAGTACGGGAAAACATTTTAAAAATCTAAACCTATTAATTTAAAAGCTACTAAATCTGGAAATGTAAATAGTATAAGCATAAATATAGAGTAAAAAAAAGCTTACCTTTAAATTGGCACAGACAAAACTAGCTCAGTTTGAAATTGTTTTTTATCTAAAAATTTAATTTAATATAATATAATATAATAGGTACGTTACAATTTAATTTTCAAAATTTTGTAGAGCTAGACAATCACACGTCTAAAAAAAATCAACTATTGGTAACTATGTAAACTCAGTTAACAGTATTCACACTTCATGCAGACACATCAATACATGGATATGTCCTGATAAATTGTATGGTTATTTCCGATCTATAATCTCCTTGCTTAAATATATGATGATAGTCTTAATTATTATATGTTCTGGTCAAACTTTTTTCAGTAGTTTTATGATGTCTGGCCTTAATCGATTTGCTGACAACATTTATCAATATTTAACATTTCTCATAAATCAATTTCCGCGGTTCGCCAGTAAGTAAGTGCCTACCTACCAAATTCGTTTGTCTATTATCCTTATATATCCTAATATATCCTTATATACGTATATATATCCTGCGACTTGATGTATCTGCATGAAATGTGGATACTGTTAACTTTATTATCAGAATGACCTCCAGCCATATAAGACATATACATGTCAAAATTGTTATGTGTAAGCTAAAAATTGCATTTGTTTGTACCGTTTGTCGGTAAATTACACCTTAAATAATATATTATAATCAAACCTTAGCATTATATAAACTAAAAAAATGCAAGTACAGTGGAGTTGCAGCATGTAGTGGGGAGGTCACGAAAAAGTTTTCGGGAATTATCATAACCGAAAGTGTTCAAATCTGAACACAGGACCTCACGGTGTGACATTTTTTTTTTTTAATAAACAATTCGTCCGGCTGTCGATTGTATTGTCTGTGTAAATATAATTTAAATGCAAATACGATCACGAGTTGTTCATAAAACAATATTTTAACATCAAACATAGTAGTCGATTGTCAGTAAAAGTTGTCCGGAATTATTTTCCGCGCGACTGCTTTCAATTCGAACCTTTCGTTCGTCGCTTAACGGTTGAAAGTTTTCTCGCATAAATAAAGTTGTCAAAGTTGTTTACAAATTAGATATGCTAATGAAACGGAATGAGGAGGGGTTTTTTTTTTATTCGCCATCCGTTTGAATTTCGAGTTTCCTTTGAACAAGGTAAAAAAAAAAAACACGTTGCAAGTGTCTAGACCATATTTTCATCGAGAAATAATGACTCTAGGGAAAACGGTGTATGTGTATTTATATATATATATATATATATATTATATTATATATGGTAAAGAGCAAACACTACTGTTTTGTATGTATCTTAGTCTACGTTATATTACACGGGCAAATGGGGTTATATTATTTACATGGCAATATATTTGTTTGGCGTCGGTGGAAACCCGAAAAGGAATTGGTTCTAAAATGATGTGTTTGTCGGTAAACAGCTTTTTGATGGGTTTCCACGATTCGATTCGGTCGAAAGCCCTTTTATCCGGCAAAAGTTGTTTGTACCCTCAGCGGCACTTCGGGGAGAGCCCGAAGGGAAAGAGATAATTGAAATATTTTTGTCTCCCTCGACGCAACCGATATAGACCCTTCATTTTTTTTTTTTTTTTGCACCGATAACTTATTGAATTAAATCCAATTTGTTGTGGGCATTTTTTAAACACTATTTAGAAAATCTATTTTTTTTTTAACTCATAATTGCACCTTCTACTATCTGTTCAAAAATCGAAGCTTAAAATTAAAAATTGGCATGCGCGAAGCTCAGTGTAGCGATTGGTATTCTTAGGAGGTTAATAGAGGAAGTATTCGCGACTGAATAATTTGTATTTTTATTTTAACAGCCACCGAAAAGGTGTTTAATATCGATGTGAACGAAGTGCCGAAGAACGACGCTGAAGACCACGACGATGTCAATCACTCGGCAAATGAAACCACTTCGACAACACTGCAACCGAGATTGTTCACGTCTACTCGAAAGCCACGAACCTATATGAACGTCACTTGTTTTGCCTCTGGCGTGCAGCCCAGGCCGGCTATGGAGATTTGGGTGAACAATATGTAAGTATGAAAAAAAAAAAACCTATTTTCACAATTATTACCATAATAAACACAGCCTAATGCGACTTTTGGGCGAACTTAGTTTGCCAACTAAGACTAGATGTCTTATGGCATCCCGAAATTTGAAGGTCCAGTTGATCATTGCCGTGTGAGAGACATTTTTCAAGTATATTGATTCAAGCACAATGAATAGCATTTATTAATATTCAGAATCATGTACCATTTTAGACACCATTCAGATTTACTTCTGCAACAATCAATTTTGGATATGCTATTATGTTTTACAGAAATTTTAGTAAAGGGCAGAAAACCCACAAAAAGGGGAATATTATACTTTGGCCGTAGTAAATTTATAGGCTGCTATGTGTGAGTGAATAAAAAATCAGGAGGTATCTACGTAATACATTTTGTTATATTATTTTTGAATATGATAGGTATATTGGTAACAACGGTAACAAGTTCTTAAAGACGGACAATCGACCCCATTCAAACCAGATGGTGCACTCCTTATTGGAACAATGCTAAGTCGAGGAGGATTTCGGTTATATGACGTAGCGCACCACCTGGTTTTATCTATTCTGTGCTAATTCCTCAAAACACAATTTCAAAAAAATTGTCGCCAGACCTGGGACCAGACCTCCCCAGCCCCCCCCCCCATATACCCCAATCGTTTTTATATCTAAAGTTTGTGTTTAAGGTGAGCGAGTCATTTGAAACTGTTATCGTATTCTTTCAGGTTGGCCATGGCGACCGGAACCCAGATAACCGTCGATGCGCCCAACAAGACCGCACTTGTCCCCTATCAAACGTACTCGGTGTTGGCTTACGGTGAAGTGTCGGTGGATCCTTATGTAGATCCGACTGCGCCACCGGCCAACCACCAGCATCTCATTAATCAGCTGTTCATCGAATGCCGCTTGCGCGTGCCCGGCTTGTTGAAGTCATCGTGGTCCGACCGCAATTACTACGTGTCTCGCAGGGGCAAAGGAGTGACACCTTCCACGGTGATGGCCCCGGTCGACCCCGACTACCAACCGTTCCCTTCCTTGGTGACTTCGTACGGTAACGAAGCCCACGTGGTGGCAGAAGTCAACGACAGTAGCGCCACGACCACCACCACCAGCACAGCTTTTCCAATAATGATGGCCGCCGCCGCTGTCGGATTTCGTCACTAACGCGAATTCCACATAATAATAATAATTACAATAATATGTTACCTTGTTGTCATATATTATATCTCACGTGTATCCGCTCCGGATCCGGGTAAGTCTTCACGAGATCTTCATAATTGCCATCGCAAGTTAGATAAAACAATATGACGCTGTATAGCTGATACACACATATGGCATGTATTCTAGAATGCGGTCACTCTGATTTCAGGCAGGTTTCTGTTATCAGTATACGATAGCGAACCGTCTAGTTTTATCTAACCCTCGTTGCCATCAACGGTAGATGCAATAGTATTAACGCGGATATGCCTAAAAGTCTAATCGGATAGCGTGATACCGTGGGGGAGAGGTCAGGGTAGGTAGGCATTGAGGGAAGGGACATTTATCAAATTATAAGGGACATTTTTTTTTTAAATACAAGTTTTTTACCACACAAATTGACAATTAAACCGGTTTTCCTTAGAATTTTAACATAAATGTGCTTTATGGCTTTTGTGACACAAAATAGAAGAGATGGACTAGAGTGATACGTGAGAATGAGAGGGGGGTGGTGGTGATGAGGAGAAATGTACAATTATTTCTGGATGACTAATAAGAGTCTATTGATAACAGAATCAGCTGATAAGATAATTGGCTGCCAAGACAAGACTGTTAGGAGATCAGCTATAATCATTAGACGTGTTCAATGATATAATGTCTTTCTTTAAAGGGAAAGACATAAGAGTTTTCACATTTTGAAGAGCTAACGAAGGAAACTAATAAACATTACCAATAAGAACACAAAAAACAATCTCGTGCGAGTGTACATTTTTTAGAATTGCGTTTTCGAAACGCTAGGGTTTTTTTTTTTTTTTTCTATAAGAAAGTTGTTTATATTTCTACTCAGCCCGATTAGTATTCCGTAATCGATTTAAAGGTGATTCCTATATGTACATTGTGTTGGACAATATGAGAGTTTGCTGGAAATTCCAACTATGCGCAATCGGTCACACCGCTTCAACGGTGTTATTTGTATTTTTCTTCTATTCAAATCGAACAGCCATAAACCATAATATGAAAATACTTGCTTGCACGGCAGTTAGCGTAATTGATTCGGTCGAGATGGAAAGCAGCATAATATTGGTAACTCTTTATCTACACAACAACAATAATTACAATAACGTTTCATGGAATACACACAATTATCGATTTGCCGACGCGGCCGATCCGGTAATTGTTCGGGGTACAGAAGCCTCTGTTTGAGCTGAGTAAATAAAAAAAATCAACCAAGTACGTTTTTACCTGAATCTCATCAGACCAACAGACATTGAATCATCTGACCGATGTAATAATTGTACCGTGCGCTGTGGCATTTTATTTCAGATAAAAAATCAAAGTAATAATAGAAACAGAAACCGAAATAGAAATAGAAATAAAAATAGGAACAGAATTTGAAATAGAATTAGGAATAGAAACAGAAACAGAAATAGAAGTAGTAATATAAATGGTAATAGAAACAAAAATAGGAACAGAATTTAAAATAGAAATAGAAAAAGTAATAGAAATAGGAATAGAAACAGAAATATAAATAAAAATAGAACAAATTGAAATAGAATTAGGAATAGAAACAGAAACAGAAATAGAAGTAGTAATATAAATGGTAATAGAAACAAAAATAGGAACAGAATTTAAAATAGAAATAGAAAAAGTAATAGAAACAGAAATAAAAATAGAAATCGAATTATACATAGAAACAAAAATAGAAGTAGTAATAGAAACAGAAATATAAATAAAAATAGGAACAGAATTTGAAATAGAATTTGGAATAGAAATAGAAAAGTAATAGGAATAGGAACAGAAACAGAAATAAAAGTAGTAATAAATATAATAGTAATCGAAACAGAAACTAGAAATAAAAATAGAAACAGAATTTGAAATAGAAATAGAAATAGAATAGGAACAGAAATAGAAATAGAAATAAAAAATAGCATTTGTTTTAATTCTTCGGCGAATTGTTCGAGTTTGATTTTGAATAGACTTTCTCCCATTAATACTATTGCACTATCCGTTACATTTGTTATTATTATGTTTAACTATTATTAAAATTGAACATTACGTTTGTTTCAGAGATGAAATATATTAGACAAATATTATATTTAGATTCTTGCAATCACTTTCACCGTCTGCACCGGGAACTCGCGTACGTGCGTGTCCTTATCTAATCAAAACAACACAGCGACATTGCTGAATATTATTCGAATGCACCTGCACAATTTTATTTGTGTCACAACCGACGCCGAGTGTTTGGAACCGGAATTTTTCATCCATCAAACAGCTCAATTTAAGAAAACATATTTTTTTACTGTTTAATTGTAACTAATTTTAGGCGATTGAAGGTGTACCGATTCCCAAAAAAAAAATTATAACTATTTTACATGACCAATGTAGGAAATATCTCAACAACAAGATCCAGTTATTGTGTAAAAAAAAATATCATATTTTTTTTTTTTTTTTTTTGGAATTAGCCACCTCTAAACAATAAGTGTAATCAGAAATGAGCTTTTGTCCATCCACAACACTATTAATCGATCAAATCAAAACCGACACGGATTATCGAACGATATTAAATCCGAACAACATAAAATATCAACGACAAAGCGTCGCGCTGTGACACAATATTTATTTATTTATTATTTATTTCTACATATAATTATTATTATTTTTAATGTTGACAATGTCGAACGAACGAAGTGCACCACGCTGAACGTTTATGTGGTTCATTCAGTTTTTTTTTTTACACTCCTATTTTTTTTTTTTTTTTGTTATTATACATGTTATGTCATTAAAATTATTCGGAGAGTGGACGAGTTCCGGACTTTGTGTCTAAAATAAACCCCAACAAATGTGCGATCAAATTGAAAAAAAAAAAAAAATTGAACAAATTCCAATATATTGAGTTCAAGCACTTTAGCCGTGGAACGCGTTTGCTCTTTAAATAATTTAACATAAGTACCCAATCAATAGGTTATTATTTATTATTTAGTGACCGTACGACATGTAATCCGTTGCATAAGTACGCTTTTCTAGTCCAAAACACATTGTGCATATTAATTGTTGACTCGCAGAAATGTATGTTACAATAATGTAGTATTTTTTTGTTTGTTTTTTTTTTTTTTGTTGTAATAAATATTAGATTTTTATTGATTTGTAATGGGAAATATTATAAATAACGGTTTGATGCACCTCTTTTTTATGACTGTTAGTGATAATAATCGGTCTGATCATACGGGTTGATCTAATTATGGTCAATATATTTACCACTATTTTTTTTCACACGCTTTCAGGTACATGTTGTAATAAAATACACTGTTTTCATCTTCATCCTTTATTTTTGTATAGATTTAATGTTTTGCCGATATTGTAATTATATTTGATGCACGTTTGAACAATATTGGTGAACACGTTTCCGGCTGAAATATCTTCAAAAATTTACTGGAAAATTGTGAATTAAATTTCAATGGAAATGTAGTGGCCTAATTGATCACCCTGTGCACTCCGCTGTCTGATTTATAGCTGTTATATTTATGTTTTTTTTTTTTCGTTTACGCAGAAGGTGATATCTTCGATTCGTACGATTAGTCTTATACTTTATCTTTAATGTTATCGTTATATTATTATCATTATTGTTATTATATTATAATTCATATCCGAATATTATACGACATAAAACAATGGAATATTAGCGTTTAAGAATATATTATCAATAATATTATTATTGTATAACTAGGCTAGGAATACCAAAGATTATACTCTATATAAATATAATATTATATTGTGATTATAATATTATTATATTCATATCCATACCACGTTTTGTTTTCAATGTGAAATAATATCTAAGTAAAATAATTTATTCGTTATAAAAGTATATTCATATATTTATTGACAATAGTCTAATAAATTATTGCTAAAAATAAAATATAATATGTATTTGACACTTTGAAAACAGTGTGTGTTTTTGATTTTACATTGTTGGAATATTACAATCAAGCTGAACGTTGGTCAGAGCGGTGTTATGAAATACATAGCTTAATTAATTTTAATATAATTAGGCATTACATGTTTGTTGCTAAACTTACTATAAAAAAAAGCAATGATACTTGTATGACACAAGTTCTTTTTTTAGACGTCAAAAGCGTCTAAATCAAACTCGGCCAATTGGAATACAAATAAACGTCAAGTAAAATAAAGTAAACATTTTTGAAGACATCAAATTTCAAGTTTTGTTAACATTCTTGTACACATTATTTTCCGTCTAAAAAATGATGTAGCTTTTTTTCACGCGAGGTTTATTACTGTTAATAATAATATTGAATTTTAAATTTCCAATTAAAAAGATTTTTGAGATAAAACCTGATATTAAATTATTGATATTAACTTTAAAGCAGGACAGTTCTAAGTAAACTTAATTGTTTACACTTTAGCACTGCGACTGTAATATGATTTTTTTTTATGTACAAAATTATCAATATGTATAACATGTTCATTAAGATATTAAATACATCACTGCGAAGACAAACAGTCTAAAAACAAATAACTTCTCAACAGTTTATTGTAAGACTATTAACGTAATTCATCGATATTATCAAATGATGATTGACGTTTAAAAAAGTACATATTTTTTGTATACAGTTGGCGCCATCTAAAACCTAAGTGAGTACATGAACGGTTAAACTACAATCCGACAGATGGCGTTCTATATTCAACAAAACCATTTTTTTTAAACCAACTATGTTCAACGTCGGTCTTGAGTATTTTTGAACTTTTTCAATAACAGTGTTTTAATTATTTATTCATTTCCTAAATACCTGTTTGTTACAAAACAAAAATAATTACAAATACCGAATTATGAAAAAATGAAAATAATTACTGATTTAAACTGTTTTCTATTTTATTATTATCATTATTAATATTACTTCAATTTTTCTTCTAAAATAACAATGATGGATAGTTTGCATATAAATATAATATTGCAATATTTTGCAAAAAAAAAAAAAATGAAAAACTCTGTTTTAGGGTAAAGAAATATATATGTAACTTATTGGCACTGATGTGGTTAATGTCAAAGCATAATACATGACAAAAAACAAGTATAAAATGCATTATTCAATCAATCTGGCAAAACATAATATGAGCGTTATCATCAAATACAGATAAATAATAGCAAATCATTCGGATAAAAACGTTGTAAAGGCAAAACTATGTTTAAAATTTTGTTTTTAATATTACAGTGGATTCGATTACTGGTTGATTTTCTGTCTATAATAATGTAAGAAAGTATTTCTCAGATAACCGTTGTTTATTGAACATTACCTTTACATAAATAACAACCTAGAAATTAGCTGAGGAGATGTTTTTTTATTTCTTTTTTTTTTCCTAGACCAACGACATCTTTTTAGCCACAATAAAAGTACTTTATTGGGCTAAACATTTGGGAAATTCTTAAAAACCAAGAAAACACCCAACGAATTTACATACATATGTTTTGACTTCCAAGTTAGGACAGTTAGATCGACTTATATCCAGAACTCGGTTTTAGCTTACTTCCTGGAAACTTATGGCGATTGCTGACTTTATCCGCACTTGACAACACCCGCCTCGGGCTATTTATTAAAACCGAGTTCAACGGTAATGATTAGATAAGTTCGACACGTTATGCTACACAACAGCTAACAACCCGACTAAGTACCAGAAACTACAATTTTCGCCCGAAGTCCTGACAACACAAACTCGGCGACCGACACTGCTATTATATTTAAACTTGAGTCGCAAACAAAATTACCCGCTTGGTTACATCAATTAAATTAATGGTTGTAACTTTCTTGCTAAGTGTCATGATTGAAATGAAAAAAAAAAAAAAATGTTTATTACTTTAAGAGCTGTTGCGAGTAGAGAAAAAAAATGTTACACACTATAAGCATGAAAAGTAAGATACTTGTCTTGGCCTTAATATAAGATAACGTACTTGTAGATCGGATTTAGTTAAGAGTCTTGTTAGAATCACCTTAGCATATTATAGGAGTACAGTGAAGAGTTTCAGAATATTATCTAATACAGCTCATTCACTATAGAGCTTTAACCCTTCGTTAGTGTGTTGGGGTTTAGTACATCCCACTAGTTAAACCAACAACAAATCTTAAACAAATTTGAAAATAATGTTAAACATTAATTGTTAAGTTACTACGACAAAAAACCATTTTTAGTAAACTTTTTTAATAGAAAATATTATTTTTGGTATTGAACTTATAAATAAATTAATATAAAATAAAAAAAATAAAACCCTTTTCTTAAAACATGTTGTTTTTTTTAAATTAAATAATTACTTAAGAATTCATTATAAAAACTCAATGTCTTTCTGGTGGGGCTGTATTATACAACAAAATTACCATTACTAGGTATTACATAGAATAAAAAATATGATGCTCAGGACAGTTAACCGATCCGTTTAGAATCCTATGTAAAAATAAATGCCAAATAATAACTAAAGTAAACACGGTAGCAGGTGCGGAATAACAGAAAGATGTATGAGCTTAAGTATATTATAATATGTGACATTCATTATAGTAGTATTTCAAGGTTAGTTGTCCATTTGAGAAGTAAACAAATTAAAATATAATCTAGTAGAGTAATTAAATCGGTTATGAGCAAATCTAATAGGCAAGTAAAAAAATATAGTTAACGAATCTCATAAACAAGTATAAAAAAAATCAAACAGAGAAATTAAATAGAGCAAAAAAACGACTAAAAAATTTAAAAAAAAGCGAGTAAGCAAATTTAAAAAATAAATTAAAAAAATAGCAATCAAGTGAAAAAAATTGATTAAACCAGTAAAAATTCGAGTAAATAAAATCGAGCAAACAAAATATAAAATACTCGAGTAAACGAGTAACAAAATTGAGCAATCTAGTAAACGAGTAAATTAATCGTTTAAGACATAAAACAGAAATAAATTAATAAAACCAAATCATATCAAACAATTTTAGGCTTAATATTTTGAACTACCCTCAACCATAAAAAAATATCCATACACTTAATTTTCAATCTTGCTGGTAAAATTGTTTTTTTTTAATACTATCTTAAACAACAGTCGGGTTCGCGTGACTGATAAACTAATAAACCACAAAGGAAACTATTTGCTTGTTGTACAGCCGTCTAAAAAAATATGTTTAAATAAAATCCGTCATTTTTGCTGTATATAAAATTATGTAAAATATGTACATCAAATACAGCTTTATGTAATTTAGTCGTTGAATACTATGGAAAAAGTATAAATATTTATAACGAAAAAAA